GACAGAGACGGAGACAGAGACGGAGAGATAGAGATAGAGACAGAAACAGGCCGCGCCCGAGCACTCTCCGTTAAGGCCGGCGCAGGCTGCGATGAGATCCTGGCTTTGAACCAGCCGGCGCTTCACGGCAGCAACCAGGCCAGCCTGCGCGTCGCTCAGCCTCGCACATGCGAGACTCACCGCGTCAACTTCAGGATTCCGAGGTCGCCCCCCCCCCTAAAGGGAGTTCGCAGCAACAGGCTGCGTTCAGGCCAGTGGCTGGTCCAGACCACCCTCTGCGCACTGGACGGCCACCGACACGAGGCGTGCGACGCCTTCATCGAGGGTGCTGCCATGATTGCCGCCTCTTTCCACTTCTTATCGTGAGGAAGCGAAGACCATCAAATACTACAACAGCAGCAGCAGTAGCCGCAGCAGCAGGCTGGCTGGTCCAAAATTATTGCGACTCACGTGCATGCGGCCTTCGTCGCCTCCCGATTGGCGAAGCTTCAACAGGCCGTCCAAGAGAGGCACCTCCAGTAGAAATTCGTACAGGCAAGAGAATCTCTTGTCTCTCCGAGCCCCTGATGCCTGCCCGACCCTCCCGCCTGCTCATCGCTATCTTGAGCTCGGAGGTCGGCTCGAGCACAGAGAAGGGCCCACATCGCCCGCTCGTGGCCCTGCGCCATGGCTTCGTGCAGGGGCGTCCGGTTCGTCTCGGGCTCCCTGTGGTTCACGTCCGCGCGGAAGGCCAGGAAGACGCTCACCAGGTGCGCGTTCCCGGCTTTGGCGGCCTCGAAGGGGCGCGTCGAAGGTACGACGGCAAGAGCAACACCCCGCTGGGCGTCTACGCACAAGAGCAGCGCAGTCCTTGTGAAGGAGGCCTTTCTTGCCGTCATTCAGCATTACCTGGCTTTCGGGAGATTTTCTCCGGCTTCGGCCCCTACCCACCACAGACTTTTTTCTGACCCTCAACCAGAAGCCCTGCAACCCTCAGAACTCGGAAACCTCAGTCTCAGCCTCTGGACACCGCCCTCCCAACTCCGAAGGAAGGCACGGGCGATCCTGGAGTTGGGCGTCAGCAGTGGAGCCCAGGTTCTCCTCGCAGGCTCGGCTTCGAGAGCTTCTGGGCTTCCGGGGCTTCGCCTCACTTCAAAAGCGTCAGAGCGGCGCCAGGGCCCCGCAAAAATCCCGTCCTTGCCCCACTTCAGGATGCTGTGGCACCTCTTCACGGCATCCGGCTCCGCCACGGCTGCCATGACCTTCCCGGAGACTGCCCTCGAACAAAAACCCGCGAGCGAAGGAGCCTAAAAGGAAAAAACCCAGCCCTGATGCTGGCCGAGGCTCCTCCCGGGAGACCTCGAAGGATCGGTGTCCCGCGTTCTCCTTCACGTGCAGCATCCACTTCGTGTTCAGCCTCCAAAGGACCCCGGGAGGCTCCGGGAGGCTCCGGAAGGCTCTCTCAGGGTTGAGAGCTCAAGCAAAAAACCAACGCGCGACGGGCGCAAGAACACCCCGGAGGGCAAAGCAAGGCTTTGCCACCTCTAGTGCTTTCGAGCAGGTTCGGAAGAATGCGCGCTCTGCGCAACTCTAAAAGTCGTAGCCCGAAGCTGTACGACAGCCCGGAGAATCAAAAAAAAGAGCGCTGAGCCCTTCCCTACATGCAGGCGAAGGGCTGAAGCTCGCAGACCATGTCTTGGATGCGGAGGCTCAGCTGAAGGTCCTGGGACGGGGTTGCATTCGGCTTCGGGCGCTGGACGGAGTCTCCCTTCTCTTCACCTGGTACAGAGCCTACTACGGAGGAGGGGCGAAGTTGCGTAGCTTGCATGCTTGTCGGGCTGCCGTGTGCTTCCGCTGCGAAGTAGCACAGTGCACGCCTTCTCCCGTTCAGCCAAGCATCGCGATACCCGTCGAGCGGATTCATATAGCGGTCGTTAAACTCGATGATGTCGATCTCTTTGTCGTCGTGGATCTCTCGGAGACCTTTGTACCTCGGAGGGCTCGCACATACCTTTACAGCTGCAGGAGATGCTGCAAGTGAGCTTCCCCTTCTCCAAGGTCCCCACATGTCGTGCAAATTTTTATAAACGATGGTATCCCTCACAATGTCGGTCAATCTGTGCCACGAAATTTCACCCTTCTTGTCCTGCAAAGGGAGCAGAGTGATGCAAAAGCGTCGTCTGATTCCCCTCCGTCCGGAAAGGAAGGCATAAGACCAGAACTCTCGCTCTTTCTATCTCTCTGTCCTTCCCGGGCATCCTTGCTCCGCTCCCTGGAAGACCCCATGTGAGAACCCAGAACTGGCTCTCTTGTCTTCTGCCGGCGTCCTTGTACTTGAACTGCGCTTTGTCCCGGCACCTTGGCATGCCTTTCAGGGGCGGCTCCACGTTCCGGCCGCCGGTGCGCTCTGCAACCGCCCGCACTTTGGCGAAGAAGATCGGAGCTCTCTCCTCTTGCAATCTCTTGCGCTGCAGCGTGCGGGCACATGAGAAACAAACCCACACTAGTCAGCCAGGTGAAAGCAAACTACTCCAAGCATGCTTGGAGACATTTCTGCAGCTGAAGGAAGCTGATCTGTGTGCGTGCGTGTTGATAGTCCTTGCAGAAGTCATAGAGCTCCTCCAAGGTGTTCTGATACCTTACAAGGGGAATGCACAGATTTCTCAGATTCGGCCAGCCCTTCATGTCGGGCCGACAGAAGAACTTAGCAGGAGCTTCAGAGATCATCAGGGAGGAGGCTTCACACAGGAAGAAGGCTCTCTGCGCACGGAGCTGCGGCTGATAGTTCATCTTCGTGGAAAAGGAGCGCCGCTTCTGCCAGTCCTTGCCCATCATCTCCACGAGCTCCTTCAGCTGACAGGCTTGCAGCTGGGAGCTGGGGGGGAACCTCACATGAGCCCGACACATGCAGGGGGTTCATGTCAGAGCGTCACTGGCATGCGCTGGCATTTGCGGGTGCCGGGAGGTTGCAAAGGGGCACTTGCTGGACGCAGGGGCGGCGCAGTGCGTGGCCTTGTTGGGCTCGTAGATCTCCTTCAGCTTCCCGCTGAAGGCCTGGAGTCGGTGTTGAAGAGCGGCGATGCTCTGAGAAAGTATATATAGGCTTGAGGGTTTAGCGTTGAGAGTTCTGCGATTGCAACAGCCCACAAGGCGGACACAAAGTCGCTCAAGATGCAGGGGCCCGCTAACACCCGCCATTCCGAACTCCAACCAAGCCCTCGGATGCCCTCTGCCTTTCAATGTACATGCAAATAGGAGGTGCCATGGTGATGCTGAATGCGACGGCATGCAATGCACAAGACACACCCCGACCCAGGGAGACAGTAACCCCGTCCTCGTAGTCGCGCAGTCCCGTCTCCCCTCCAGAGAGCTCCTGAGCCGTGGGTCAAGTTGCAACGGATAGTCCGGGGTGAGGATTTCTAGGCCAGCAGGGTTGTCAGCTCGTTCGCCAGGCATGCTGCTGAGCATAAGACCCCGGCTTTACGGCGTAAAATGTGCCCCTTTCCGCCGAAATGCTACTCGAATTCAAAATTCTCTTCTCTGGCGCCTCAGCTCGGGCCAAGGCACCAGCGCCGCGTCGTAGGTCGTGGGCATCGTGGCCGGGTCGACTTCTTCTTCGTCGTCCCTGCGAGCGTCCGGGAAGCCACGGCCCAACCCCTCTTTCCCCAAAAAGGCTCCCCCTGCGCCCGGCCCCTTCCCCGGGCCTCTCCGGCGCCTTTGGCTCCTGGGCTTCTGCCGGCTGCACCTGCTGCTCGAGCCGCGACAAGCGGCGCTCCAGTCGGGCCATCTCTCCGCCTTTCCGTAGACTTTGCTGCCCGGTATATCCAAAGTAGCTAAGTAGCTACACGGAGCGTGGCTCTCCACTCTGCAGCTGGCTTTGTTGCCTTGCTGATGTTGGGGGACCACTTGGAAGATTGACGGACTTGCGGAATATCATGACGTACGAGGAGAGCTCCATACAGAAATACAGTACGTGACTTCGCAAAATGGTTAGGACAGCACGTAAGCAAAATACTCTGGTTGTGGACATAACCCCGATTGTACTGTAGAAGGCGAAGGCTGGCCGGGCAAGAGCCCACGTCCCACTTCTGGCCCCACAAACTCCGAGGGCATCCCTTGTACAGAGACTTTCAGGAACTTCTCAGGTTTCAGTGCCGGCCTCCTTCGGGCTGTGCGGCGGCACCGGCACCTGACTTCTGCCTCTGGACCTCTGCGGACAGCACGGCGATGGTGGCCCCCATCTTGCAGAGCAGCGCCGTGGTCTTAGTCAGCCACAAAGCTCCAATTCTAAAACCAGGGGCCATCTGGGCCAACCTCTTGCTAAACCCAACGGAATGCAATTTGCAGCCCGGTTGCGTGGCCGTTGACGGGCTTTGCCTTGAACCCATAGTCCCCAAGGGGGACACCCAGCGCCTTCAGCCTAAACCCTAAGCCCTATAAGCCCTATGAAACCCTAAACCCTATAAACCCGAGACCCTAAACCCATAAACCCTATAAGCACGAAACCATAAAAAACCCTAAACCCTACAAACCCCAAACCCCAAACCCTACGGCTTAGATGGCCAGGAGCCACTCCCGCCTCTCCTCCTCCGTTGCTGCCGCCAGGCGCAGGTGCGTCAACGTCGGCCCCGCCTGCACGAAGTTCGACACTTCGAAGGCGTAGCCGGCGTAACCCTCGGACTCCGGCGGGAGCTTCTCGCGCTCATGCTTGGCGGAACCGGTGGCTCCCAGGATGAGACGGGCTTGGCACTTTCCCGTGACGCCGCCGAAGGTCTCGAGGATGCCGGGGCCGAGCAGAACGAGGACCTTCTCCCAGGTGTCCGTGCGGGGCTGGTACTGCCACAAATAGCCGCGCTTGAAGGGCGCTTGCATCTGCGGCAGGCCGGTCATCGCGAAAGGCAAGTCGAAGTCCTGATGGGAAAGCATAAAGCAAACGATCCACGATCCTGCATGAAAGATCTTGGGATACACGTCAAGCATACTCTCGTCCGTCCTGCATGCCGGTGCCGCGGTCCTGCAAAGGCTCCCAATCGACTCCACACGAACGACGAAAAACTCCAAAACATTGCCGGAAGAAGCAATGCAGGCACTGCAAGAGCACAATTTCAACTCTGCCCAACACGCGCCTCGGCCCGTGTGCTGCCCTGGGAATCCAGCACATCCTGTGCCGTAGCTCAAGGGGTTTCCGCTGTCTTCGGCTTGAAAGCTGCTTTTCTGCCCCCCGGAAGGAGCACAGACCCAGCTCCCGACGAAAACTTGAGAGGCTTCATCCGACTTGAAGCAGATCCCTGCCCTCGGTGTCTTGGCCACCTCGGCCCTCTCGCCGCGCGAAGCCGCTGAAAGCTCGCCTTCCAGAGCTGAGAGCTCCTGCGCAGGAGCATGCAGGAGCCCCCAACAAACTCCGACAAGGCGCTCCCTGTGGGAGGCTGTCGGCGAGCTTCGTCCGCAAACTGCTCTCAAACCTCTCACGGTAGAGAGAGCCCCCCGGAAGCGAAAGGTTTGCTCGGGGAAAGGACGCCACCCCAGCAGGGAAAATGCGAAAGAAGAACAAAAACTGAACAAGCACCACCACCCCCCACCCTTCCAACAACAAATAAGTCTCGCAGAGTTTCCCGGAAAGGCGGCTCACTCTGCACCAGAGCCTCGAAACATCGACGACCGAAGGGCGCAGGCGTTCTCAGACCTCTCAGGCCCGCCCCATGGGTGGATTGAATCGTGGTGGTTGTGTCGGGGCATGTCGGGGCAGTACTGCGGTGGATGATCTGAATCCTACATTACCCACAACAGGGAATAGGCCATCATTCCCAGTGTTTATAGGGTCCTGAAACTTACAAGGTAATGCCAAGGCCTTTTTTCATCAACAGTATCAAAGTCAGGCGAACGTAGTTGCAGCGAGGACTACTCTTTGACAGCGGCGGTCCTCGCTCCGAAGCAGCGGCCCGGACGCCAAGGGCAGCATCCGCCTGCGGAGCAGAAAAATAGGGCTCTGCCAAGGTCCCCCGCTCTTGGCATTAGGGTCCTTCCTCTAAGGGCTCCTTTACGGCGTCCTTGAAGGGCTCCATAAGGGTTTAGGGATGGTAAGAACAGTCGTGCTATCGAAAGAGAAACAGTATTGAGAAGCAGAATCATCATAATAGTCTTCTGTGAGCGCTGCAGTGGTATCGAGCACGCTTGGATTGGAGGAGCTGCCATGTGCTCGCTTTCTTGCTCGAGAGCTCCTCCGACAGTGTCTCCGCCTCTCCGCTTTTCGATCCGTTGGCCATGGCGTCAGAGTCCATCGAGTCCTACCTGAAGGAGGTGATGCAGCCGCTGACGACGGACCTCACCAAGGACATGCTGTCGACCCTGCCCGAGGCGGGTTGAACTTCTTATTCAATGCGTAGTTGCAGATCTCCATGACTGTCCAAAGCCAGCAGACAGAGAGCTCTCACCAGAGAGCTCTTTCACATCTCTTCCGCCAGGATCCCGAAGGCTTCATCGTCCACTGGCTCCGCCAGCGTGCCCCGCAGCAGGCCCCGGCGCAGATGTCCCTACGCCGCCGCAACGAAGCCCTGCAGGCTGAAGGTGCAGTAGCGGTCCAGGGCTTAAGGGGCAGGGCTCGGATTTGGGGACAGAGGGATTTAGGGCTCGGGTTGCCGTCGGTAGGGGGTTTCAAATCCAGGCTCTTCTGGGGTTGTACAAGCTTTATAGGGCTCCAATAGGGCTCATGGTTGAGTTAATGTTGCAAAGGGCCTCTCCTGCAGCTCTAGTTGCGATCAGCCCGAAACCATCCCAATCACCAGACAATTGCAGAGATGGTGGATCCGAAATTGCACGCTACCTCCCAATACTCTCCGAGACGGGTGCGGGAGCCCGGAACAAAATTCTTCGAAGTCCCTCTCCTCTTGAAGACGTAGCAAGCCCTTGACGTCTATCCATCCTTCACCCAAAGGGTCCAAGTACTCATTCTCTGAAGACTTTGGGGCCTTTATGGATACCAAAAACCATAAACAAGGACTACTTGG